GAAGTTGTGAGCAGTCAAAGTTGGCTGGAAGTAAAGCATTACACTAGCCGCCGGGCTTTCAGAGCCTCCGCGGAGCAGTGGTGGTGCCCTCGCTATTCACCCTGGGGTCATAAGCTCTCCTCCCGTCGGAGCGCAAATTCCGAGAGCACTACCACTACTCCAGGCGACTTTGAAAGCCCGGAGGCTAGTGTAATGCTTTACTTCCAGCCAACTTTGACTGCTCACAACTTCCTTGGCAGGTTCATTTTGCAGTTTTAGTTTCCATATTTGTAATCAGCGTTTGAAGCTCTATCGATATATCTGGGTCTCATCTCAAAGTTCCATGGGAAGTTGAATGCCTTTCCTGGTAGTGACCGCTATCCACCTGGTCATGGTATAAAGAAATGGTCCTGGACCAGGGGAATGGACATTTTTGCCTAGACTCAAGGTGGAGAGTTCCAAAGTGGATGATCAAATACGTAAAATCGGATATGTGGGAGGATGCGTGTAAATGTGGCAAACACTCATCGTTCCTGTTTCAAAGGTATTACTTCCTGCTTTACGTATTTATCTCATCTCGTCTTACTTAGGAAGGCCGGACCCCCCCCCCCCCCCCTCAAATCCATCTGCACCAAATCAAGTTTTTGCAATCAGCAATTGTGCTTTGATCTGTCTTTCCTCTTTTTCAGCTGGAGCATGAGTTAGCCACTGCAAAAGATCGTTTGGCTGCAGCCGAAGTCCGCATTGAAGGCCTCGTACAAGAGAAGATTTTGTTGGAGAACAAGATATCCCATGAATGTAAGCATTTTTTTCAAAGCATTTGTACTTTTTGTAATGGAGAGTCGTTCATGGACATTTGTACTTTATTTTACCGTGCCACCCTTCATATGAATCCTGCATTCATGTTAGGGAGTAATTCCAAGTCAGTGAGTTGATTCCTTTGCCATTCATAAGCACACCCCTAACTTCTGATGATGTTGTGCCTTTTCAACCCATCGCGAAACCACGTAACAAATCTGCAGTGCGTTATCTTTCTTGTGCATGGTGAGATTGTTTGGTGGAACAATTGTTTCAGTGGCTGTTGTTCGTCTCAAATGCTTCATAAATTAATTTCGCAAGACACAAGTAAAGCTATCTGACATCGGGCAGCGCTGGGATTGCAAGAAAAGAGGGTTTGGGAATCCTCGAAACTATTCAGTGTTAGCTGTGGGTCGAAGACCTACATTGCGTGTGAGGATTCCTTCAACTGGCTAGTGAGAGGAAATGTTACTGGTTGGCTTGGAATTACTCACGTACTGAATTCATAAATTTCGCTAAAGTGTAGGCAGTGTGCAGCAGGCGAGCTGAGGCGTGAAAAGTCACTGAGAGGTGTCGTGGTCGGGCAGAGCGTTCTCACTCAGATGGGCTGGTTGCTCCTCAACGGTTCACCCCGCCCACAATTTTCACGAATCATGGTTTTAATCCAGGACCAGGAAGCTTTTTAGGTTGCACCTGAAAAAAAATGGATACGATCTATTACCATCTTGAAAACTGTAGCTGTTTCAGTATCAATGATGGATAGTGTACATAGTTTGCATACATCTATGCTCGAATCAACCAATGGTGAATCGTCTCTGGATAGCAGTATGATGGAGTATGTGTCATAGTTGCGATTTTTACATTTTTACAGAACATCATTCTTTTCGGGAAACTTTTCCCATCACGTACTCTAGATGATGTGCTAACGCTTCTAGGGATCGCATTCGTAATGTGGAGCTGGAGAACTCTCGTCTTCGTGAAAGGATTAAGGAAATGGAAGAGCTAGAGGTAGTGAAAGGCGAGATGGATGTCGTTAAAGGGAGAAACCACGAGTTAGAAAGCGAACTGCGTTTGGCTAATAAAAAGAAAGCTGATTTGGAGGTGAGAGTGCCACATTTTTTTTTATAATTTCGCGCTTTTTTCCTAAGCGTCATATTTTTCATAGTTTTACGATTTTTTTCGGCAATTTATTATATTAATTTTTTATATGTTTTAATTAAGGCCAAAGTGGAAGAACTGGAGCATTCAGTTGAAGTAGCTGCTGCTTCCTCGTCGGGTGATGTTACAGAAGTGAAGCTAAAGGCATGTTAAATTGTATTTTCAAATTTTATATTTTGTTATGGGAGGCTGTCAGTGCGCTGTAGTAAATGGCTCATAAGATATAAATTTTACAATTACAAGTCATAGTCTCGCCTTTTAGTCCGAAAAGATGTCGATAGAGGTGGACCAGTGGAAACAGAAAGCAGAACTATCGGAGAAGCGCGCGGCAGAAGCGTTGGATGCTCAATTGTTAGCTGAAGGTACGAGTTTTGAAAAGGTTGTCTTTTGCTTGTTTTTGTAGAGTTCTGCTTAAATTTATGCTCTCGATTCGCGCTTGTGAGTGCTTGAGTTTCAGTCTGCCTATTCCCGACATGTTTGTTAGATTGGGTCCTTAATAAATTTGTGACAATGGCAGCCATCGGTGGCTGCAGATCTCACTCGGGACAATGGTATCCACCGGTGGCTGCCGTGTTTCAAATGGAATTTGGAAAGTTTTCTTCCCTGAAAAGAATCTTCATACCCTCATTCATCTACGCCAGCCCTGGGCAGAGGAAATCTCCATCCACTCAAATTTTATTGAAGAAAAATCTCCTGACTCTCCTGCTATTGCGCAATCCCGCGCGGTCGCGAATGGGTTAAACTCACAACGAAGGCAATATTGCATTTTATGTATTTATTTTTCCTTTCTAAGGGTCTGAAACGTTTGATTTGTGATTCTAGGCAAGCTGAAAGAAATGGAGTTGGAATTACGGGAAGAACGTGAATCAAAACGGTCATATCTGGAGAAAGCCCGCCAGATTATTATCGATCAGGTCGGTGTGTGTACGCAACATGTTGATGTTGGTTCTATGTTTTTGGTTTTTGTTTTCTAATTCTTTTTTTTGAATTCTTTTTGTTCATATTCCGGGCTGTACGCTTATGTTTTATTATTAGACAAACGCGAATTGGATTTATTTGAGCGGCTTTCATTTGTATGTACGTTAGACGCTTTTCGATCGCGCTGTTTTTTTTAGAAAGAGCGCACAGTGTGCGCGAGAGAGAGGACTGAATCGGGTCATGAAGTTCGACTCATTGCGTTAGGACTGAGTCAGAGGAAGATAGACGAATTAAACAGCTCGAAGAGCAAGCTGAGCGGACTAGTACAATGCACGAGCAAGAACAGCGGCTTCTGACAACGGCGTTCTATGGAATGGTAATGATATAGCTACCGATTTTCCTACTACCATACTCCTTTTGTAATATATACCACTTTCTTATTCCTGTCGTCTTCCCATATTTGGATGTCATTTCAGGCCAAACGATCCACAGAAATCGTGGACGGTGCAGTCGAATGGCGGGGGTGACAGATTCGTTCGCCTGGAACGAGTTCGTCTTTCTCGTCAAAACGCAGGCCAATGCATTTAATTTCGGTTGAATTTTATCATGGAAAACTCTTCTGTTTTTATGAAAATGCGCTTGATGGGGTTGTTGATAATTATCGGCACAGGGCATGGTTTAATGTGTGATTCTCTGTGTGAGTGGTTTCATGAAGGTAGTGGTCACGATAGTTTGGTGGTCCAACTCGGTGCTTTTCGATGACGTCCTGGACAGCATTGCGATGAATTAGACCCCTCGGCTGCTAGGGATGTGGTGGGGACTGCTTCTTGACGCCCCCACCAATAACGTCCAATGATGGCATCAAAATCGACCCGCCCTCCATCAATCGTGGTCACTGCCTTTAATGATCTTAGCATGTCCAAGGTCATCGTGAAAACCTATGTGACATGGTAGAAGTTACGTACTTGTTGAGGCTAGTGCACTGAAGAAGTTTTTAGGGCAGCCAGGACCTCGGTTGAAGATATTTTCAAGCTACATTAAATGATCTGCTAGTAGTTAGTGCTGCTGATTAGTACTGATATTTGAGAACTTTACTGAATGGTGAGGGCAAGCACGATGTTGAGGCTTCTCTGTAAAAGTTCCCGTACTTCTATATTGTTTTGGGTAACAGTAAGATTAATCGTTTCGATCTCCGTTCCGCACCGGGAGGTGAAGCCCGAATAGTTGTGACTAACGCTCATTGGGTGGTTGCTCTTTACCTTGCTTGTTTCAGGTAATATTGAGGTGCTTTTACAACCTCTCTTTTTTCGAGGGAAAGTGCTGTGAAAAGGTAAACAGGTGTAGTCGCGTGCGTTTCCGTTGTGGGGTCGGGGCAGGGTCAAACTGGCGTGTGGCTGGTAAAGGTGCGACCCCTCCTTTTCCTTTTCGTGGAGGTATATATGTATATTTACGTACCATCTGTTTCAGGACGAGAAGCGTGTCGAGCGCAGACCATACACTGCGAAATACGACAGCCTCCAAGTAAATCCATAGTTAGTGTTCATAGTGATAGCTGATAGTTGGTAAATGATAGTTGTAATTAGTGCAACTGATAGAATACAACTGCAACAGGCTAATCATTTCATTGGCAGAATTTACATTTTGTGGAGGCCGTCGTCATTTGTGGTGTGTGGTGTGCATTCGACACGCTTCGGTTTTCTGGTTTGAATATGGTGCCTATAATCGTTGCAAATCGCGAAATATCCAGAATTTTACGAAATTTTCCCTCAGTTAGAGAACTTCCTTTTTCCAAATTTAGGAGGACCCCTTGATATAGAACTGTGACTCACTCGCCAGGGGCCAGACATATGGAAGACCATGCGTAGGGCTCATAAAACAGCGTTTGTCGCTGCTTAATTGGATTGGGAGATGATATTCGAATCCCGATCGCAACGCGACCGCTCGCGTCAACTTGTGCCATATCTAAGCTTATTCGAAAATAAAGCGAATGTGAAATGGATTGTTAAGAAATAAGAGTTCCACCAAAATGTTCTCCAACGTAATAAATCCAAGTATCTTGCTAATAAGTGTTTCTCCCAGTTCCTCTTTATAGTAGTGTTTTAGATACTCGTGATGATGGCGCCGCTGCTCTGTGATGTACTTCGCGGGTGTTCGTTTTACAAATTTATTTGTACACACTCCTTTATACTAACCGTTTTATGTTCATCTTCTAATGCCTTGATGCTTAATTTCGGCTCCTCGGGCGCTTTTCCTATGATTCTGCAAAGATTTTTATGTTTGCTGGTTTTCATGAGCTTCAAAAATATTATTTGCTTTGAACATTTTGTTGTGCCTTAGAATCCTAGAGCATTCAGCCTTCTCGTACTAGATCGGTTATGCCTTGTTGCTTGAAAATAGTCGAAATTTCATGAGAACTCTGGATGACCGCCACTTCCTTTACTAATTATGATTTTTGCTTTCTTTTCACCTGTGAAGTTTGGTCGGCGAATTTTGAACCGGCTCCGTATTATATCTGATTTTAAGTGCACATCTCACAGGTCGTTTTCTAGGATAGGGAATCAAAAAATAGAGCACCATGGCAGCCAATTGGAGGTTACGATACTTTTGTCTGTCATATGTATTATAAGCCGTAGGCCCAAGTGGGGCTAATCAAGAACGGTGGATCGACTGGAAAGTACCGTTTGTGTGATTGATTACGCATTTTCTATTAGGTTATTGGCTCTATCGGTGAGGAGGATCCCACGATTAAGCGAGATATCAAAGAAGAGCAGGTAGACATAAATGAGGAAAGAAGGGCCCTCTAAGGGAGCGGGACGATAGCGCTCTGCATGAGGTTCTCCCTCAGTGGCCTAGCAGGGCAGTACCCTCGTCGCTGTGCCTATGCACGACTGCGCGTAAGCAATCCCTCA